TAGACTGGACTTCAGAATCAAGGCTGAAATTCAGGAACAAGTTCTGATCAGATGTGGATACAAGCTAGATACACCACCTTGAGCCGGACCTGAGTGTTCAGCCCAGCTCCAACCACTTTGGTGAACAGGGCAGCTTCTCTTCAGACCTACAGTTTCCCAAGTACAGAGATGAAGGAGGGACACAGATAATGCACTTGCAGATAACTTGAGACTCGGGGTAGAACAGTACCAGAGTGATTTGATGTCAGTGCTGCCTCCACTTCTACAGGAAGAAAAGGAAGGAAGCTCGCAAACATATCCAGAAGAATCTCCTAGGAATATCTGGACAATGGAGCCAGCAGGCACTGTGACCCACCAGTGTACTGGGTTTGTGAGCCCTGCTTAGGCTAAGAAAGAAATAGACTCCCTGTGCCAAAACCAAATGCCTGGTCATTATATTGGAGCAATAATTCAAATCATACAAACACAGTTGAATACGGAGGTCCAGAGAAATTTTTCTGAAAGCAGGAAGCCTATCAACAAGCTTGCAAGGATTAGGGCTATGGCAATTTGCAGGCTAAGCAATGTGACTTGACAGCACAGTCTCATCTCTGGCCATGGCTCATCTGATGCTAGCACCATCACGCTGAAATAAACCACCTGGAGTCACTCCCCACAATTGCATAGCTGTCACATAAATAGCAGCCTGGTCCATGCATTTTACTGCCATTACATGTATGTCCATGACATCCTGTAGTTGAACAGACCCCACCAGCCCCAACCAGCATGCTAAGAAAGCTCTTTCTCCAGGAAAGCTGCTTTCTTCTGGTGCCCAAATCAAAAAAGATCACAAGAAAAGGAGCCATCTAAACCAAATGATCCATCTAAACACACACATGCAAGCAGCTCAACCTCTCTCAGACTGCTCACATTTAGCTAGAGAGGATGATAACAGGAGTTATCAAAAGGTATGTTACTAAAAGCAGAGTTTCTCTTCCTAACCCAAGAGGTTTTCCTTAATACAGGTCTCATTGATAATATTCCCAGTTAGAGGAATAATTATCAATTCACCTAATGTTGGTATAGGGCCCAGAAGAAGCAAGTACAGCATTGTTCTTGTTAGCCACAGGAATTGACAGCTAACCACCCAGTGCAATGAATGACATCTAAAGCATTTCCCTCCCTGTGGGACCAACAGGCCCAGCAAACTGGACAGTCTGGTTCTATTTCCACCCAGAGACTGATGGCAGTATGCCCTGGGCGCTGGACAGTGGGTCTTTAATTGGAGAAAATAAATGCTCCAAATAAATATGTCAACTAAATAAATGGCATGTTTTTGCAAACAAGTAACAACCCCAGAAACCGCCACACACTGAAGCTGTGTGACCTAAGGACATTCCCCCTCCCCCTCTGCATTTGTGTCCCCTCATTTCACACTAGCATCACAGAGACTTCACCAAGTTTTTCAAGCATTACAAGACCTATGCTCATGCTATAACCTGGGCTTGCTGTCAGGAGCATGGACCAAAGCATCAGTCTACTCCCCAAGCTGGAAGATGCAGTAGGGATACAGCTGCTCAATGGGCTTGCCTTCAGCAAAGAATTGCTGCATGGGTCTGCTCTAGTCTGGGTACAAAGCACTGCCAGCACAGGGAAAAAGGGACTCTCACTGCACATAAACCAGGTCCCCACGGAGCTATGGGGAGGAAAAGAGCCCTGCAATGTCTCTTCCTCAGGTCCAAGCTCACCACTTGCAGTGGTCCCTCTGCACTCCTAGCCTGGCAATGAGGCAGGAGTTTCTGCAGATGTCTCCTCCAGGTTGGAGTGAACAAGGCACATGTGTGGCTCTCCTGGGGAATAGAAGTGCCAAGGCCTGTAAGGAAGTATCTTCATTTATCAGGGCCACCATTCACTTGAGCAGCTCATTTGGTAAACATGCTTTTATGCTCAGTACAGCTTCTTGCTTTTGCAGAAGTCAACCTTGCTCACTGGGGGCAGCTTTGCTTGAGCAAAGAGTTTGGCATTTGACCCTCTCTCAGGTAATGGAAAAGAGAAATGATGGCACATTTCACTGCATTCAACTTCCCATGATCCTTCCAGCTGTTGAATGTGATCTCGCTCTCTCCCCAAACACGGAAGCTCTCACTCCTTGGGAAGGAAGATGGCTTTCAAAACCACTCCATCAGGCAAATACCGTGGCCTCAGGTATGACTGCACTTGATAGAGAGAAACCTGAAAACGGCTGTGGGATTTTCCAGCCTCCAACGCAGCTCTGGCAAAGTCTGTTCTCCCAGCAGCAGAGATGGGAGCACACAACCTCCGCCTGCTCCCAAAATGCAGATCTCCTTTGGGCAGAAAAGTGAGTGACATCAGGTATCACACTCTCCTCCACCAGCCAAGCAAGTCCAAGTCCTCCTTGGACTGTGGTCAGCATTGGCAGCTCTGCGCCATTTTCAGAAAGCTTTCATCACCCCAGGTTCTGATTTCCATCCATCCCTGCTCCTCCACTCTGCAGGGTAAATGGGGCCCAGAGATGAACAGGATGCAAATAGGAGGCGAGGTGACACGGCTGCATTTCTCCCATTGAAGCCAGCTCTCTCCAAGGCGGCAAGAAGCGCACAGCTCGGCAGTGATAAACGGCCTTGCTTTAGTTATCACTTTCCTTAAGTTAAGGAGAGCAGCCTAGTGATGGATGGGCTGGAATTCGGTTATAAGGAAAGGCTGTCAGCCAGAGTTGCCTATCTCCACACACATTTAGCAGGGCGTCATTATGCGATGGCATGGAGTTAAAATATGACCAAGGGTATTGAAAGAAAAAGAACAGGATTAAAAAAAAGCAAATTGAGCAACAATAAAGGAGCATGAGGCAAGAATGTTATCGGACTAGTGACACCTTTTATCTCAGTCTGGTTAGCTAGAGCAGGGCACAAATTGGTCCTTCCTCCACTATTGTATCCTCTTGTACAAACAGAGGCAGATAAAATGTGTCACCAGCGCGATAGCATATCAATTTAACCCTAATTATCTGGGGGGTCAAACTAAGAAATAGGGGATTCTCATTTCAACAGGTTCCTCCATCTCTGCTCAGAGCCACCACATTAATATGGAAGGAGGAGGGGCAGCATAATTGATTTCCATCACTCAGGTGGTCGTGGCATATAAAAAATTAATGCTTGGTTCTCCCAGCTAATCAGAGCCGGTTAACGTCCATCTGCTTCTGGGTTCAGGATGTCAGGAGACAAAGAAATTGGGCCACTTTCTACACACTGGGTGTATTGATATTAAGCCTGTTAAAAGAACAAGCACCTCTATGAGAAAGATAAAGGGACATTAAATCTTGGGTTTTATAGACCTGGTCTCAGCCTTCAAAAAAATCTATGCCCTGAAAACCTTGTGATGTAAGAGATGCAGAACATTTTAATTGTGTCCTGGCCATGCCCATTGCACTGGGCTGCAAAGGAAAGGGCAGGCAGGCTCCTGCTCTGGAAATCTTCACTGAAGGAGGGCTGGAAAGCCCGAAGGAAGCTGCCTGGATGCTGCAGCACACAACAGCAACAAGGTGATAGCCAAAGAGAGGAGGCGTCAAGCCACTTGCACCCTAGTTCGAAGCAAGGCTGGTCAAGGCATCGCTCTGGGCCATGTGGCACAGAGCTGCTGCCTTGATGTAGAGTGTGATGTCTGCCAGGCCAAGAGGAACGCC